AAAGGCGAATATGTATAAATGTAATGGCGACATACCTTCTTTGGTTCTTCGTCGCTATCAGTTTCATTATGTAACTGGTCTACATCGCCGTCTGATTCTAGAGTTCCAACGAATGGAATAGACGCCATGTTGGATTTACAGGGATTTACGTAAATGACGTAGACGCGGGAGACTGGAACTAGGAACCAAGGCAGCGGCAAGATGGCACTTTCAGAAGCCCGATACCGGAATTTAGCTGTGCGACCACCCATTATTAACTTTGACGCGGATGAGGCATATTAACTGCAAGTTAATACCTAACGTGAAATCTTCCAGTCTCGGCCGGTTTTATGTATCTACGCAAAAACTAATGCGCAGTACATGGTGTTGAAAGACAAGTATGCGCAGTGAACTTATTTAGAATCTACAGGTCACGTAGCTGGAAGAAATGTGACAAAACAGCGTTCAGGCGCGATTAAGAGCGTTGTAAAAGCGAGATGTTCTTGTGCCACGCAGCGGTAATGGCGGATGTGCGTAAGGTGAAAGCGATGAGGATTAAAGCGTTCCTCCCGAAAATGTGAAGTTTTCTTCGCTATCTCACCTCTTATTTTAGTATCATTAAAGTATTTATTGTCCATCCCCGTAATAAGATTTCTAGTCCCATTTCGTTAAATCAAGAACTTGGCCAACTTAATATCCCTACAAATTTCGATCAGCCCATAGACAATGGCATCTTCTCACCAGAAAAACCTTGAAAATCTCTGCCGTATATGCGGTGAAAAGCCGCAAAAATCAAAAGGAACAGTCACTTCAAAGTTTCAATGTCTGAAACGGAAAGAATTCTTGGCTGAAAAGTTTTCAATCTTCGTTGAAAAAGACCTCCAGGAAATTCATCCGCAGTATTTTTGCCACGCGTGCTACGCGCATCCCGACAGAAGATCTGTTGTTCCAGTTACATGGGTGACGCACTATGACGATGATTGCAGTCTGTTCACACGTAGAAGAAATTAAGAAAGGTGGAAGGCCTAAGTAGGTACGAAGGGGGAGAAAACCCGAGTTATCTGACCCGTCTAGAACTCCTCAGACCCCTTGCTCCAAGATCTTGACGTTCTTAGCAAAGACATGCCTTCTATTCGCTTCGATGAATTTTCAGAGAAGTTTGTCCTTCCCGAAAACCTTAGAAAAGAATTACTGTACCCAGTGTGCCTTCAGATTTTAGAAAAACCTGTGGAAACTACTTGCCAGCATTACTTTTGTGTAGAATGCATGAAAGGTGTGATTGATAGTGGTCAGAAGGTTTCATGTCCCGTTTGTAAGGACAATATTGGCCCCCTCAAAGTACCTACTCGAATGGTGCTGCGACTCATTGCCGAACGAGAGGTAATTTGCACAACCTGTCGCAAGTCTGTTAACTACGAAAATAGTGCTGTCCATGCTTGCGAAGGTACTCCACAAGCACCAGCTGTAATTCCCCAGCCCCAACAACCAGTGGTACACCCTGACCTAGCCCAGGCTATGCAGCAGATTTTGGAAGATGCACAGGCAGGAAAATTCTCACCAGAAGTGGAGAAGATATGCACTGCATATGTGAAAACTTGGTTGAAGGAGTCTACAGATGGAAAAACTGTGCTGTTCAAAACTGGTGGAAAGGTAAGATTCCTTTTTACTTTCAATTTAAACTATTTGCCCTCTTGACTCCA